TTAGTGTTGATGGGAAGCTGCTATCAATCATAAGAAACCCACTGTTAACTCCAAAAGAGTGGTACAAAAGGTTCATAGGGATAAATGGAATTATTTACCACCCAGATGGGTTTCTATTAGTGGTTCAAACTTGGAGTGGCACTTTGTTCAAAATTGATTTAACAAAAGGAGAGGAAGTGAAAGTAATAAAGGTAGCAGGAGGCCCTCTTCTTATGGCAGATGGTTTAGAATTACTGTCCCCAACTAAGCTAGTAGTATCTGGTTTTGTTTCAAGATTAGTGGAGAGTTCAGATGGGTGGAATACGGCATCTGTTGTCGCCAAATTCGGGGGGATCAGGCATCGCATAGCGACGACAACAACCATCAAGGATGGGAAGGTGTACATAAACCATGCTGCTGGATTGGGATACCCCAGAAAGAAGCATGCTATTGTTGAGGCACCTTTTTAAGTGAAGCCCAAAGAGTGGGAGGAATGGAGATGTGATAATAATAATGAGTTAAGAGGACAATGTTTGATTGGAATTTGGTGGACCTTGGTTATTTATGTTGTATTCATGTTTTGGTACTTTTGTTTGATGAAAGCATTTCATTTCCTCAATAGTTTCTGTTCAGTTTGAACCCTACCTTTGTGTTTTATTAGGAAGGGCCAGAGTTGTTTGCTCAGTTGTGGTGAGTATTGGGGTTTTATTTGTCTTCATGAAGAGTTCAATCTTTAATATACTCAATAATCCCCCCCTCTAATATCGGTATCATATATTTACTTGTCCGTTCTACCTTAAGTCTACCTAGTCCGACCATATTTTAAAATGAACTTGAGGAAAGCAGAAAATGGACTGCAAATGAATGAAGTTCAGGGTATAGATAGGATGTTATTAAACTTCTTATCAAAGGATAAGTAAAATTTTGAATGTACTATATATATATATAAAGGATGGGGATCACATGTCCCAAACTGTGTACCATGCTAATTGGAGAACTCAATTCAATTAAAAAGAAAATAACAAAATCAGAAATTAATATTTTAATATTATTTTATGAAGGTTAGGGACATTGGAAGATGAAAATTATGGGACAGAGAATCCTTATCCATATATAAATCCTACTTATGAAAAATAAACTACATGACTGAATTACACAACTTCTTTCACTTAAATTTCTAATTTTTTTTTGTGTGGTGGTATTAAATTAAAAAGAACATAACTGATTTATCAGAATATTGGATGATGAAGATTGCAATTATTTACTTTGCAGGAACATTGTAAGGATTTATTTGTAGTTACTTAATTATGGTTTTATGATAAACACAATATAAAGTTTCAAAGCATTCAAGATAAATCGAATAAAGAAGGTAAAGCTAGAATGGTGAATTGAAATATCAAATTGAAAAAGGAAGGGAATTCATTAAGCATATAAATAGCAATCAAGTTATCTCTCGTATTAATATTCCATTTGAAAACTGATGTAGAATAAGTATTTAGACAAATACCTTGACAAAGAGACAAGTAATGAGAGATTTGTTATATGAGAGATTTGTTATATATTTATATTGTCCAACTAAATCATCCTATTACAATATGTGTCACTTATAAATCAATAATTAGTAAACAAAGTGATAACTTTGTGATATATATCACTTTTTTGTATATAAGAATTCAATAGTATGGTATATCATTTTCCTCACATATATATATATATATATATAGGGATTCACTTACTCCACATCTTAGTCATCAATTTTAGGAAATCTAATGGGCTCATTGATTTAAATCACTGGTTTTTTCTAGAATTGATGGCTATGATGTGAAGTAATTAAGTGTTTTAAATCTACTTTTGAAGTAAGAGGATTTCCTCCCATATTTATATATATATATATATACTTATTTCTTACAATTCCTTCCTTCTTTGCAGTTTTTTCCTTTTAATTCTGATATATACTGATGCATGCAAGTCGGTGCAAGAAGGCGAGCGTTGATTCGGAAAGTGGGCTGGCAACCGAAACTTGCGTGGTCCCTTGGAGGGTCCACTGGTACCCGCGTTTGAGGCTCATGTAAAGCATGCATGCGAAGAAGGTGGCACCATACAGTTAGGCAAACTTGGCTACTAAACACTATTTCTATATTCGGTATAATCTGAAAGATATTAGATTATATAGAAGATCTCATTACGTATATGGGCCGCGATGAATTTAGTGCAAGAAATTATAAATTCTTGGGGTCATGAATTTGAGTCTTGTAGGCTCCCTTTTGGAGAAATAAAATACTCCACAAATACTTAAACTAAAGTAAGACACACCTAGTGGATTCACGGTGGATGACATATTAAGGCATTGGTGTTACATCACTTACATTGTGTACAGTAGAACAAGCACGTACAAACAATAGTCATTGGTGATAATGAGACAAGTTGGATCATGTCATGTTTCTCATTTACCTAATTCTAAATATTTATAAGGTCTCATTTTAAAACTTGAATTTAGAAGTGATAAAACTTAACCATATTTCAGTCTAATTATCATCGGGTGAGTGGCTAGAGCTCGACTCACCCTGACAAGTTGTCACCTTTCTTGTTTATGAATTATAGAATAAAATTCATTCTCAGAAACTTAAATTATATATAATAATTCATTTCCGTGTTAGTAACATAAGACTTACTAAATTCTCAAATAGAAAAAAGGTCAATAATTTAATTGATGTGAGTTATACTTGTTGAACATAGCAGCTACACACTCCAAAAATTCATATCAAGAAATTCTCACAAGGCAGCCTTTTAGTAAGCAAGTTAGCTTAGTACACTCAGGAAAATTAGATCCTATCATTCTATACCATTTAAAAGTACTAAATATATTTGGATTGAGAAAAGATTATTTAAGTTAGGATTTACTTATTTTAATCTTAATTAAATTTTCTGTAATTCATTAGTTATCTTATCGTTTCTAATAAATATTTTTTGTATAGAATAAATTATGTTTGCACCAACTTATATTGCCAATTTTTATCACCATAAATTTAGGTATGAAAAAGTTCATATTCCTAACTGTCCTCTCTATCTTCCATAGCAACAATATTTCATATCCCTTCATATAATATTGCCTCCACTCTCACCCTTTACTCATAGTCCTGCTTTAAGGAGGTTTCAGTAGTGTAGTCAAAATATGTGGAGAAGAAGAACAATGCTACATTGAAGCAATTCACAAAGGAGGGTGAATTATAGTTTGCTTCAACATCTTTAATATGTCACTCTTTCTTTAATGTTGGCCAGTTAATGGAGATTGGAGAATTAGCTGAAAAGGCTTCCTGCAACTCATTTGAACTAGGGGGACCCTAAATGTTCGTATTAGGATCATTTTTTGAACTTGGGCATGACCTTAGACTAGAAGTTAACTCGACTCCAAATATTGACTAGGACAACCTTTAAACTCTAATTTTATCATAAACCCGATTAAATATAACGCATACCTATTTTAAATAAAATCTTCTCAATATTTTAGTTATTATTATGGATGTGTAATTTGATATATGAAATGACATGTATATGTATATATTGTTAATCATGTATATATGATGAAAAATTAAAGAATCAATGATAATTTTGACCAAAGAGATGATATTACTTTATACACAATTGAATAGAGATACATAGAAACATAATATGTGAGTGACCATGAGACGGCACGGGTCGGGTCGGACCATAGTTGTTATTCTATCTGATCCTAAATATTGGTTGAGTCTAATTTTTGAACTTAAACTCGATCCTAGACTCAATGAGACATAACATTATTTAGGTCTGATCATGATCGAATCAAATTGGGTGAGTTAATAGAGCTGCATCTTACTCACTCTGAAGAAAAGAAATAAGAGATTATGGTAAATAACTCCAAAGCTGAATTTGTTGAACCCAAGCCCAGCTGAATTTGTTGAACCCAAGCCCAGCTGAATTTGTTGAACCCAAGCCCAAACTCAATGTTGACCAACCCATCTACAATGTATTTGAGAAGCTAACTCGGTTCAAATTAAAATTTATCACAAGTCATTTAACATAGCAGAAATTAGGCGAAAGTCTAAAAATTGCAATAGTTTTTTGGTATATCATATGCATCTTCCGTAGGACAATATGTAATTAACTCTTCCACAAAAGTTTTTTCTAGGCAAGATATAAACCCAAATGTATAATTAAGAGGACACGTATAATTATTTATATATATACAAATTAAATCAACCTAAGATTAGGCAATATTAGGATATATTAAAAGACATTAAAAATTTCTTATAACTACCTAATTTCTTAATTTATAAATTGTTCTCGAATAATGCAACTCTAAACAAATGTCGTTCACATGCATCAAACTTTGACCTTTTGACTATCTTGGACATGAAGCATGTCATTTACTCTTGTTTTTTCTTTATGAAAATTAAAAAATAAAGTGTGTTACAAACAAGATATAAAAAATAGATAGTATTTATTATAAAATGTTGTTTGTAATATATTAAAATTTTAAAAGTATTGATTTTCAATAATTTTATTAATTTCTTAAATGTGCCACTATTTAACATTTGTAACCCGACTAATGGAACTTATACATATAAACATTAGGGTATCTAGATACCATTGTAATGGAACTTATACATTTGTTAAGTGAAGTTAATTCTCTTTATTACTTTTTTGTTAATGGTAATTGAAAATAAATGATAGAAGATGAGCTGATAGTACATACAATTCTTATATTATTAGTGCGTGAAATGTTATTCGATATTTGAAAATTGGTTTTGAATTTTATGACTCTGGTTAATATTTTATTATGTGTTTGTGTGACCTATTTCTTAAGAGTTTGAAGTTAAATATCAACGTCTTAAGAGATACAAATGTCCTTATGGTGATAAAGAAAGAAAATCATTATTATCCTATTGGAATACATCAGACACGCTTAAGAATTGACAAAATCAATGAAAAAAATTACACTGCATTGTGTGATAATCACTTCTTTAATATTAATAGTGGATAAAATAACTTATCAAAATAAGCCACCTTAAACAAATGATTATCAACATTTTGAGCAATAATGCGTCATGAATAATACAATATTGGAGGCAAAAAAGGTCAAATTTACATGTAAATGGTCAAATTTAAACTTTATCATCGTTATCACTTGATTCCAATGGTGAAATTCTTGTTGCCCTTCTTCTACGTAAAGAAATTATGAAAACCCACATAAGACATTTAACAACGATGTCAACTCGTAACGTTATCAACATTTTGAGCAATAATCCGTCATGAATAATACAATATTGGATGAAGAAAAGGTCAAATTTACATGTAAATGGTCAAATTTAAACCTTATCATCGTTATCACTTGATTCCAATGGTGAAATTCTTGTTGCCCTTCTTCTACATAGAGAAATCATGAAAACCCACATGAGACCTTTAACAACCCTAACCATCCCAATTGTAACAATAAGATAATACAACCACCACCCAACAAAGTCACATATTTCAACATCTATCAATTGCTCCTTTTTAACTTCAGCCATAACCACCAATGTTTCCACCTCCTCCTTCAACCTCCACCACCATAATGTTCCTAAACTTGCAGCAATAGCCACCTTCTCAACCCATCTTTCTTTTCTTTCAACACCAAATACTGTGTCATTCACAACAGGCCTTACAATCATTCTAGACCAAGCTTGTGTTGTCTCATGCAACCCCAACAAAAATATCATCCTGCTTAAGAAACTTCTCTGAACACCAAAACTTGAGTCATTATATTCATAATCATAAATTCCTGCAGCTATGCTTCCTTCTATGCCTAAACCAACACAAAATTGGAATATGCATAGGAGAACCCATGCTGTGTAGAGACTAGGTTGGATAATAGTGCTGGATAATGGTTCATTCAAAAGGGTGATTTTTCCTGTTAAGCTTTGGATTAAGGTGGCTATGCTTACAATGGACAGAAGAATGTAAAGGATACATGGATTGATGTTTAAAGCAAAGGTGAAAAGAAAAGAAAAAGGTTGCAGTGAATGGTATAAAGTTAGGGTTTGAAGATAGTATTGAGCACCAGAGAGATTTGCCAATAGTAGAAATGAGAGAGGAATTAGAAGGGTGAGGAGTGTGTGTGTGAGAAGGTAGAAGACCTCTTTAGGAGTTGGAGAAACATAATTGAAGAACTCTTTGGTTTTCTTCTTCCAATTCATTTGTTTTGAAGCAATCATGAGTACTAGAACAAAAATGTTCCCTCTTTATTTACAAGCCAAGGGAAATTCAACATTAAGGTCTCTATATGAGTATATATATACGACTTAACAACTAAGTACATTTGGTGGAAGTGAAATTTATAAGTGGTTGTCACGTCCATTGCTTGTTAAGTTGACATTTTCATAGGACATATATAGTTTAGACTTTAGACATTTAGGATAAAGATATCTCCAATTTTATACAGGAATATCTACGATATAATGTGGGTGACTTTCTCATCAAGTTTTTTTTTTCTAGACATAAAATTCCAACTCAGTTATTATATGTAAAAAAACATATGTACCATATGAACGAATTAGCCGTTGAAATATACATTGGACACTAATTAAAAATATATTCATTTGCGTGTTGGTTTGATACAAAGAAGTGAAGAACACTGGATTGAATAATAATAATCATGTCGTTTGGGTGCAAATTTGTTTTAATTTTTTAGCCAAAAGTATTACTTTATCATATGGACAAAGAACTAATTAATCAACTGCATTCTTCTACTTTTCTAACTTTTTATCCTTGTCTTTTCACCAGTTTGATATTAAAGCCTAAAATATGATAATGCATATGTCTCAAAACATCAACTCCCAAGGATCTTATATAAAGCAATTAGTATGAGAGACTTTTGAGTAATTCTTATTAACAGGTTAGGAAGGGGAATTAAAAGATAATTCCACTTGTGTAACATTACGTGGATGCAAATGAAACTTGACGATGGAGAGTGATTATCAGAAGTAGATGGTTGTTTTAAGTCTTAACTACCCAAGTTTAATTTAACTTTATAATCTAGAAATAAAGAAACAAAGTTGGAAAGTCCTTCTTCCATGGCTTTGCCCATGATAGCTCATGGATTCTTTCTACTTTCTTAGTTTATATATATACATATATATGTTAATACATTGTCAGTGTAAAAATTTATATACATTCAGTACATTATTTACCATTCATTTATAATATTTTTATTAAAAGTAAATGATGAATGGTGTAGTGACAATGTAATTTTTGTTATCTTTATGTTTTTTATGGGAGGGGTCTCCAAATCATTTAGACAGAAGATTAAAGAGGGTGTTGAAGGTTGAATAAGTTGAAGTTTCAACATTATATGATTAATAAAAGTATAATTTATTGAAGCCCAACTATGTAAATTAGAGAATCCTTGGGTTAGACATAGCTTTAAAGCTGGGTGATGAAAGTTGGTAGGTCCAATACTTCATGGATTTCCTTTCTGCTTCTATGGAAAACCCAAAACAAAAAAATGTCACTGGTTCTATGAGATTCAGATGAATGGTTCCAATATCAATCACAAGAATAGGGATAGTAATTTGTAATAATGTACTGTATATATACCCTTAATACAGCTGATAATATATTTTGAATTATTATTATTATTATTAGCTTCACATGTATTGCGAAAGAATTCAAATTCAATTATATAACTTGTCAATTTTCAAAATTCAGTTCATATTTTATGGTTTTAAATAATTACCCACTGATGGTATGTGATCATTAGTATATGAGTAATCCTAAAAGACCTTTAACATAATATTGTGGAAAATCTTAAGACAATATTTATGAACAATGACTAATTTTCAAAATGTAATCTTAATTAAGGACTTATATTAAGACTTTGTGATATTCTTTATCTTTTCTACTTACGCCCCATCAATACTTTATATCTTCAATGATGGTAGTTTTCTTAACCTTCACTCTTGGGGTTGGGGAGAAGAGTGAAAAACTAAAGAGAAGTAACTTCACTTAAGAAATGAAATACATCAAACTTGTGATTTTTTTAATACATATCAACCAAAAAAACTACCCAATTATCAATCATTATGGCTGAGGTTAAGAAAATAATACCACCAACGTTAACAATAATAAGCAATTGTTAACAACTACATCATGAACATTGTTTAACTATGAGAAAAACAAAAAAATGTATTGGAATTTTATGTCTTAATTTATTGAGAAGAAGCATTGAATGCTAAATTATTTTTCTACTCCATTTATAATGCCCTTATGATACTAGCTAAGAACTTATAATTGTAATATCTCAACGATTTTGTTGTACATTATTTCAAAAACCTGGAAAATAAAAAATATTAATATTAATGCATCTTTGTTTTTTTAATTATGATTATTATCAACTTTGAAATTTTAATGCAATTGGAGGGACTCTTTTCTTTCTTCCAAAAGTTCAATTTTAATGTACTTTTGCAATGAGTTGCATTACATGGTCGATCATTTGAATTGTTGTTTTGCAATGAGTTGCTATTAAATAATGTACTTTAACATGAGGTTTATGCTTTGTCCTATTCAATAAATAAAGTTGTTATAAAAATAGTGAATGATAAATAATATATTAATTATGTATAATTTTCTATATTGAAAATGAATAAATATTACACTCAATATTTATTTTTTATATCATTTGGACATTTCAACGTAATTAAATAATGTGTTCTATGGTTAATTTCATATTTATAAGCATCCATTCGTATTAAAATTTGGCACTAAAATACATTCATTACGTTTATCCAAATGTAGTTATTGGATTACCCATTGAAATGGAAAGGTAATGTCAGAAGTAGCTCAATTGGGTTAGACAACTGACACCCTTATGATATGCCAGCTTTCTAACATCCATGAATCATGAACAACTGCAGATTCTAAATTCTGGAAAAGGAAAAACAAAAAGTACAATGGATACATATAATGATCACTGTGATATTACTTCAATTATATATATTATTGTTAATATTTTAAAAGAAAAAAATAAATATATATCCGTAATATAAGAATTTTATATACTATCATTTAATTATTTACTTTTTTAAATTATTATTGACTCTTTTAAAAAAATAATACAAATGATCGAATAAAGACATATTTAAATTATTCTGCACGGTTTTACTTAGTAACTAACGATTAGTAAAAGATATAAAAACATCATTTTCAATTCTTAAAACTTATAAAGTGGGACATTTTTTATTACGAATGGAGATGATTTGTCCCACATTTTATATCTCAATGGTGTCACAATCCAATTAAAAGTTGATACATACTCAAATAAAAATCATAAAAAAAGAAAATAATTTTTATATATTATTTGATGGAATTTGATTGGTTTAGGAAATATGGACATCAATTTTTTTTGGATGAAGAATCTTGAAAGAATGGAACAAAAGGAGTGGTATTATTGGTGAAACATGTGGTTCGGTTATTATGACCAAAGAGTAAATATGTGAGTAATAATATATTCTTATATCAAATCTTTTCATGACATAACAAAGTGATATATATTATATGTAAATAAATTATTAATAAATAAAATATTTTTTATGAAGCATAATAATATAAGAAGATTTGCATAAATATATAATTTTCCTAAACACAGTTACTTATGTCTTAACCATCAAAGAGCTCGCTAAATCTATATGTAAGGAGGTTACTAGTTGCAATTATATATTAAAAAAATGACCACTATTATTATTGGATAAAAAATATATATCATCAAGCGTTTGGAATATTTCTTTCTTATATAACTTAAAAAAGCAGAGCCATTTTGATATTTAAAAATTGGAACTTGTGGTTAGACATTAAAAAAAAAAACTCCCATGACCAAAGTGAAGAAATTAGGAACTTGTACTTCTAGAATTAAAAGATTAACAATATATTGATATAGTAATCTAAAATCTTAGTATATATCAGATAGATTAAAATGTTAAATATTCGATTTCTGATAAATATATTTGACCTACTTACCTAGTTGATACTCAACTTAGGGATAATGCTCATGGAGATACTTTAATTAAAGGATAAAAAATGTGATACATATTTAAGGTGATATTTATGCAACATTAAAGGGTGTTTTTATGGAATGAGATCAATTATCCTCAACTTTATCTCTAAAGTTGTACCAAGCTAATTACATTTCAACAAATAAGATAAATATGTTATTTTTTATTTTCATTTTATTTATGTGACAATTTATAATTGACTGAGACAAGAAATAGGGACAGACTTTAGGACAGCAGATCCCCATCATTTTTTTATTAGTATATTGCAATGTGGGGTTGCAAGAGCTGGTTGAAGTGATATGCTCATAGCTTTACATTAATAAATAAGTGAAAAGAAAGAGAGAAAGCAACATTATAGGTGCCTTTACCATCATCTCCTTCTTCTTCCTCTATTTCTTTCTCTCTAAACAATAGGAGCATTTATCTTTATTCACTTACCTCTCACAAATTCAACCCCCTTTGAAGCTCCATTACTATGGACACTAACACCTCCTCTAAACCAGAAACTCATGCATCCAAAAAACGGTAGGTTAATGCTAAATGCATAATTTTAACTTAAATGACATACATGATATATGTA